GAAGTCTGTGCAATGAAACGCTGCTCCATGGGAAGCCCAAATGCTTCCTCCCTTCTCTCCCCCCCCTGCCTGCCCCTCTGGAACCCTTTGCTTCCCCCCTTTGCCCAGCTCCAGATGCTGTTTTTACCCAAAGCCCAAACTCACATCATCTCCTTTGCAGGACGGGCATTCGCGTGGGGAATGGGCACCAACCACCAGCTGGGAACGGGTGAAGAGGAGGATGTCTGGAGCCCCGTGGAGATGACAGGGAAACAGCTGGAGAACCGCCTGGTCCTGGCTGTGTCCAGCGGAGGCCAACACACAGTGCTGCTGGTCAAGGACAAGGCACGGAGCTGATCACTCCGTCGGGGCGCAGTGGGATCGCGCGGCCCACGGGCGTCTCCTCCTGCCACCAGCCCCACATTGGGCAGCTGCTCCCCTGCTCTGCTGTCTCCCAAACCACGGTGAGGGAAGGCAGAGGGCTCCCAGAGCCTTCTCAGGTGCCCCGTCTTCTGTTTCCGTGTTGCCTTCCAGGTAGCTGCACTGGGAAGGGAGGCACTGCGAGGATGGATTTTATACATTTAAGTTATAGCAATAGGGGGAGGGAAGCTGTGTGTGCTTGGGGCTGGTCGGGAGCCTGGGAGCTGTACAGTGGCTAACGTTGAATTTTTTTAAAGAAAATGTAAAGTATTTTGGTTGATTGAGGAAGAGAGGGAGGGGGAAAAGAAGAAAACCTCTAAACGTTTGGAATAAATGGAGTTTTGATAAGTGCTGTGTTTCCCTCTGCGTTGAGCAGGGCAGGGCGCTGCGGGTGGCGGTGCCATCTCACGCTGTGCCGCTTCGGGGCTGTATGCACTTGTTGGGTTCTGCCGCGGGATGGCAGCAGTGCGAGGAGCACCGGGGATGGCAGTGAGGAGGGCAGGGTCCCCACGGGGTCCTGCTGACCCCACGATGGTTTCTGACACCATTGGGAGCTGGGGCGGAACAGATCCTGGTAGGGGCTGGAGTTGAGGTGTCAAAGCTGATGGGTGGCATCGTGGCGTGGCCCCAACCTCTGGTGTCTGTTGGGTGTTCATTAGGGAGCAGGTTCCTTAATGAGGCTCCAGCTGGGGGTGGGAGTTTGGTGGGATGCTGTGGGGGGCTCGCTGCCCATTTGCTCTGCACGTTTTGGGCTGGGAAGGATGAGCCTGGAGGTGCAATGAGGGGCTGAGCACGAAGCTCTGCTCCTCTCCCACCACCACAGAGCAGCTTTTTGTCTGACCCACGCATCATCTCCAATCACCACCAACGCAGGCTGAGCCAGCAGCGCTCACCCCAACCTAAGGCTGCTCCTGGGGACCAGCACCCTCCATTCAGTGCTCCTCCATCACCCAGCGTGACCCGGTGGGGGAACAGCACTGTTATTTTTATACCCCTTCCAGCAAAAATAGCAAACCCTCCCCCTCCTCCCCCTTTGTGCTTTGCAGCCCTTCTCTGCGCCCGCTAACGCTGCTGTGACACAGGGCTGGGGTGGCTCCTTCCCCTGTGCGTCTGCCTGCGTCACCTCGCTGCCCCTATTAATAGCTCAGAGATGGGGAGGGATGTAATCGAGGGAGACATGGGGATCCTCCAGGGCTGTGCTGGGAAGGAGGGTGTGTGGAAGCAGGGGGTGAAGGAGGCAGCTCCAGTCTGATGGGGTTGGGGTTGGAAATTGGGTCAGATGGGATTTGAGTTGGGATTAGGGTGGGATGGCATGAGATTTAGGTTGGAGATTGAGATGGGGTTGGGGATGGGATTGGGATGAGTTTGAATGGGATTTGGGTTGAATGGGATGAGATTGGGGTTGGGATTGAGTTAGGGTGCAATTTAGGTTGGGGGTAGGATGGAGTCTGGGTGGGTTGGGGTTGGAATTGGGATGGGATCAGATGGGATTGGATGGGATTTGAGTTAGGATTGGGATGGGATGGAATGAGATTTAGGTTGGAGATTGGGATGGGCTTGGGGGTGAGATTGGGATGGGATTGAATGGGATTTGGGTTTGATGGGATGAGATTGGGGTTGGGATTTAGGGTGGGGATGGAGTCTGGACGGATTGGGGTTGGAATTTGGATGGGATCAGACGGGATTTGTGTTGGGGGTGGGATTGGGATGGGGTTGAATGGAATTTGTGTTGGGATGGGAGGAGGTTGGGGTCGAGATTGGAACAGGGACTGGTGGGGTTTGGGTTGGGATGGAATGGGGTCGGATGGGATTTGGTTTGGGATTGGATGGGGTTGGGTTGGGTTAAGTCACTGGTAAACCTGGGTTTGGATTCCTGATGCATTCCTTGGTGGTGTGAATGCCTCCCAAAGAGGATAATGCCTCTGAAATGCTGTCCTCTTGACCAGGTGGCAAACGTTCTTAGGAAGGACGAGAGGTGAGGGCTTGAGCTCAGCATCTTGGACACCGCAAGCCCCTGTTTGGGGGCACATTGCAGCACGTGCAGCACTGGGCTGGTGCCACTGCCCTGCATGGACGCCAAGTCCAGAGCTGCTGCAGTCATTTGGGAACAAACCCCAGCATTTCCCATCCTGTTCCTGGCAGGGAACGTCCCCAGCCAGCGAGGAGCCTGCAGCTCATCAGAGTGAGGGGGCTTTATGGAGAAAGAGAGGAAAACACGGATGGGGAGAACAACGGCACAAACAAAAGAGTTTAAATTTATCAGCAGCGATGAATCAACTCGCGTTGTCTTGGGAGCAGGAGTGATGCTTCAATGGGATGCCGTGCGGGATTTGGGGAAGGATGGGCCTCCAAGGATGGAGAGGGTGGAGGAAAACAGCGTAACTGAGGAAAGGGAAACGTCTCATTAGCGTGGCTTTGCTGTGTGGGAGGATAAAGGAGGAGGAATTTGGGCACCGGGGTAGGATAGAGGGAGGAAGAGCCTTTCCCCATCCCTATATGGGGTCTGGGTTTGGTGCACGGCTGGGGCTTGCACCCAAAAGCAGAGGCAGAAACGTGCATCCATTGCACCGTGGGGTTCAGCCTTGGCACAGCCAGCATCGCCTCCCTGAGCCCCCTGTGTGGCAGCCGTGGGGAGAAGGCAGCCACCGCATCCAGCTCACGGCTGCGCCATCGTGCGCTGGTGCTGTGCAGGGTTTGCAGCTGGGAAAAAAGAAAGGGAGACAAAACGGAAAGCCTCAGTCATTATTCACGACGATTTGGGTTTCGAAGTGAAGCCAGGAGTGTCTCTGAGAGCCGGGATGCAGCCTGGGCTGCTGTGGGGGGTGGGAGAGCTCTGCATCCACACGGCGAAGCCATGGCCATGTGCGTAATAATGCAATTATGGCATTGCTGCAGACAAAGAGCCCAGCGGCCGCGTCATCAATCACACACGTTGGAATCAAGTGTGCTGCATGAGGGCTCATTATTTAATGGATTAATTAGCAAAACAGGAAAAAAAAAAAAAAAAGGAAAAATAAAATAGCAAACGTCTCCTCGGGTTGCAGATTTGCAGATGCTGTTCTCTGGAGCTGGGTGCACGTGGGGAGGCACCGTTCAGTGCCCTGCCATCGCTGCATCCTTCAGCCTCTGCTCCTCCATCAACACCCCCGGAGCGCTCCGGGTTCTGCTGCTCCCCATCTCTGAGCCCATTGAGGTGACAGAAAGCGATAAAGGCTTGAAAAAAAAAACCCCGACGTCTCGTTCAGCGCCGGCTCCGACGCCCGTTTCCATTCGCTCCTGCTCTAAATCCTCATTTGCATTTAGATTACTCGGGCTGGGTGCTGTGCCGCTGCAATAATGAGCACAGAAGGACCCATCGGTGCCGCTGTGCGCTCAGATCCCCCGTACGGCGGCCCTGGGGGGGCACAGACCCTCCTCATCTGTCCCCCCCCTCAAAGCATCCCCTCTCGTTTTCGGCTCTGGGGAACGGAAGCGGCGCTGGAAGCTCTCGGCTCTCTTTTCTTTCCCAGCAGGTGCAGCTCCTGTACAGCAATGGCACCGAGGGACGAGGGCTGGGGGCAGCAGCGCCATCCCTGGGACACAGCAGAGGGGACAGGGATGGGGACGCGGGGTCTGCCTGTAGATCGAGCCATGTACATCTATATAAATGTATGCATAAGCGTGCAGGGCGCCCCCCCGTCAGCATCCTGACTGGAGTGGAAGCAGGGTTAAGTTCTTCCTCTGCTTTCTCTTTCCCCCTCCTGCATCTGCCGGAGTGTGGGTGAGTTTAAAAAATAATGACCAAGAGCCTTTTAACCCACTTTAAGGGCACTGCAGCACATTTTCCAGCAGGCTGAGAGAGCGGCGGGGCCCTGCGGGGTGGGAAATGGTCCTCAGCACTGTGGCCTCATGGATGGAGCTGTGATGGTGGGGTCACCTCCCCCACGTGCCCCTTGTGCTGCAGTACACAGAGCCCCGGGGCAGCTCAACCACACAGGGACACCCCAATCATACAGGGCATCTCAATCCCACAGGGACATTCCAACTCTGCAGGGACGTTCCAACACTTCAGGAGCACACCAATCCTATATGGACATTCCAACCCCGCAGGGACACCCCAGTCCTGTGTCACTCCGACCCCACAGGACATCCCAAACCTACAAAGACATCCCAACCCTATGGGACATCCCAATCCTTCAGGGACACTCCAACCACACCAGGACATCCCAACCCAACCAGACCCAGTTCTACAGGGTACTTCAACCCTACAGGGAAATCCCAATCCCACAGGGCACCCCGATCCTACAGGGGCGTTCTAACCCTGCAAAGACACCTCAGTCCTACATGGACACCCCAACCCTGCAGGACATCACAAAGCCTGCAGGATGCCCCAACCACACAGGATGTCCCAGGTCTACAGAGATACCCCAACCCTGCAGGACATCCCAATCCTGTAGAATACCCCAATCCTACAGGGACATTCTAACCCTACAGAGACATCCCAATCCTACTGGGACACCCCAACCCTACAGGGGCATCCCAACTATACAAGGACAGCCCAATCATACAGGCACATCCTGACCCTTTAGGACACCCCAAACCCCACACGGGGCTGACGCTCAGCCCAGACGAAGCTGGGAGGGATGCACTGCAGACAGGTTGTGAGGGTGCCCCAGTGATCCTTGATTTGAGACCCAAAATTTTGCTCCGTTTGGCCCTTCCAAGAAGAAATTGGTCTCCGTTGCCTCGTCAGCTCTGCCTTGCAAAGGGGCAGGCTGCAATCGCCAGCAGCTCTGCAGCAAGGTAAGGCTGTTGTGGAGAGGTAATGACCTTCATTAGGCTCAATTGATGCAACTGGAAAAAAAACAGAGCCAAGAGGCAGCCTCTCCTTCCAGCCCACGCGCCCCAGGTGCACCCGCGCGCCCGCCTGCTTCCTCCAGCACCATCAATTTGTCCAATAAAAGCCATTAGTGCTGCTTCTGAGCCCCATCCTCCGTGGGCTGTGTGCCCTCATGGGCACAGAGCTGCTGCAGGAGGTGGAAGGGACGGAAGGTCAGCGGCACCAGGGATGCATCTGTCCCTGTTTAGCGGTGGTAACGCAGTGCAGAGCCCCAGGGCTGATGGCTGTTGCAGATGAGCTCCCACCGAGGTGCTGCTGGAGAACGGGGCTCCATCGGCGTGGTGCTGAGCACAAAACCCCAGCCCTGGGCTGGGCTCTGCCTCGCGAGTGGCTGCGAGTGCATAAAATGTCAGTGCTGGAGAGGACGAGGGATGGATGCGCCGTCCTAATCGCGTTAGCGCTGCGAGAAACTCCTCAAGTCCCCACCAATTGCTCTGTAATGAGATCTTCCTCGGGCTGGCTGTCTCTGGCAGCAGACGGATGGGAGCTGCCCTGTGGGATGCAGGAATGCAGCGTTGCCGTGGGGCTGGGGATGCTGCGCCCGCATTGCCAGCTTTGCACCCGTGGGCAGGGTTGCCAGTGAGATCCCAAAAACGCAGCAGTAGTATCAACTCAAAAGTCCTCTCTGGCACCAGAGTTGGTTTGGAGGTCTCCAGTAAACCAATGGATTTACTAGATGGTTCACCGATGGGTTTTCCATAGGCAGAAAGGCAGCCCAAGCCCTACGCGTGCGGTGGGCGTCCTCTCATGGCTCAACGAGCCCCACCAAAAAGAAAACTCTCCGCAGTCTGTCTGCATTCAGTCCCAGCAGGGCTAAAGCTCTGTGGTCGTCTCCTGGGTGACCTCTGAGCGCGGCTCCCCAGCACCCCGCTGCTCACCCACGCCTAGTCATGCCGGCTGGCCGCGGCCGTCCGACGGGGCGCAGGTGGAGACGCGCTCCCGCGTGGTGTTCCGAGCTCTGGAGAAGCTGTTCTGCTCCACACGAGCTCGGAAGGGCAGGCAGAACTCGCGGAAACACCTCTTGAAGTTTTCATCCAGGAAAGCGTAGAGGACGGGGTTGAGGCTGCTGTTGGTGTAACCCAGCGCGATGCAGAAGTGCAGGCTGGCCACCACGTAGGGGTTCTTCTTGTCGATGTCCACCAGCGTCCAGACGATGACGAAGATGTGGATGGGCGTCCAGCAGATGATGAAGGCTGCCACCACCACCAGCACCATGCGGGTGATGCGCCGCAGGTTGCGGTCCTTCTCCTTGGAGCCTGAGAGCAGACGGACGCTCTTCAGGCGCAGGATCATCAGCCCATAGCAGATGGTGATGACCAGGATGGGCACCATGAAGGCGAAGATGAAGACGCAGATCTTGGTCACCGTGTCCCAGTAGATGGGAGGGTCGGGGAACTGCAGCGTGCACAGCACTGTTCCATCTGCTGGAAGAGGGATGAAAACAAGGGAGAGCAGATGGAGCGTCTGCTGGGAACTGAATGCTTCTGCTCCGTGGTGGCAGAGCATCTCCATCCATGCTAAAACCACCAGGAGATGCGTGCCCATCCCATTGCAGACTGCCCTGGAGCTCTGTGGGGTGCCTGCGGGATGCAGGAGGTGCCACCAAACTGGGGATCGTTCTCTGCAGAGCCTTTTGCAGCATCCCAACCCCTGCATTGGGCGCATCCCCCTGTCACCTTCCACTGAAACTGATTGCTTCTGCAGGATGCCCAGATTTCTCCCAGCAGCCACCAAACAGGAGCTGCAGACTCACTGAGGATTTCGCTGTATAGCCAGTACACCCATCATACCCCAAGCCCTGGCGTTGGCACCCGATCTGCACCCCGGCAGTGAACACCTGGGACTGTTTCCAACCTCTGCAACCAAAATGGAAAACAGCACCACGCTGGTTTTCCACCACGGTCGTGATGGAGGGACGACCTCCAACGGAGCACAAACATGGACAGGACCGAGTGGCTCAGCAGTGTCACCCCAGGAAGCACAGATGGGACCTTTCCTCAAAAGCTCACTTGCCTTTTGACTTGGTGACCGCCATGACCATGATGGGCACCCCAATGACAGAGGAGAGCACCCAGATGCAGACGTTGATGACCTTGGCTTTGGCTGGTGTGCGGAAATCCAGTGCCTTGACCGGGTGACACACGGCCACGTATCGGTCCACGCTCATCATGGTGAGGGTGAAGATGCTGGTGAACATGTTGTAGTAGTCGATGGAGAGCACGAGCTTGCAGAGCAGCTCCCCAAAAGGCCAGGTCTCCATCAGGTACTTGGCGCTCTGGAAGGGCAGCGTGCTGGTGGCCAACGCGTCGGCCAGCGCCAGGTTGAAGATGTAGATGTTGGTGGCTGTCTTCATCTTGGTGTACCTGAAGGGGAGGGCAGAGGTGGGGGCTGGCGGGCGCTCAGGGAACCAGAAATGCTCCTGGTTTGGTTTCCTATCGAATTTGAGTGGGGTGGGGAGAATCGCTGAGCAAATGTGGCACTGAGGGGGGTTGGGTTGGGGTTGGGTCGGAGATCTTGGAGGTCTTTTCCAACCTGAGTGACTCCGTGATTCTATGAGTGGGCACGGGGGGATGGGTTGAGATTGGACTGGATGTTCTTAGTGGTCTTTTCCAACTGTAATGATTCTATGTGCCCATCTGGGCACATGGGCTGGGGCTGGGGACGTGCTGCTGCATTGGGTGAAGCCAAAGGAGCCTCTCCCACACGCCTGGCCATGGAAACAACGCTCATTCATCTGCCTGCCTCTACTTGGAGGTCAAAGCAACTCCAAAGAGCTTTTCAAATAAGTCTCTTTTCCAATTAAATCGATTTACTCCATTTCCCCGAATCAGTTGCACAATGTCCTTTACCTCCTGAAACCTCCTCTATCTGATTTTCCACCCAGTAAATCGTGATTATCCAGCCTGCTTCCCTGTCGAGTTTCCTTGCAGAAATTGGATCGATTACCCCCTGAAAGAGGCCAGCTGGGAGCAGCACCATCAGCAGCACCATCAGCACGGCTGGAGCTGCTCCATGGGAGCCCTTGGGGAAGCCTGGCCCCACGCATGGCACAGGGACATGGGGACGTTGGCTCTGCTGCTGAGCTCTGGTCCTCATCACGCAGTGATAGGAGCAGTGCCTGGACCCGGTGCTGAGAGCTGAAGGTCCCCAAAGGTCACAGTGCTCTGGGAGGCCACCAGGTTGTTTGTGGGGTGCTGGGGTCAGGACTGTGCTTGCAGCTCCATCCCCTCCATGCGCTCCTTCCCAGGTATCCCCCATATCTCAGAGCATCCTCTGCAGCCTCCAGCTCATTAAGGTGCCCCCTAATCGATTAGCAAAGCATCTCCATGCCTGGATAAAACTGCTCGCAGCATCCATAGGGGGTCAGGCTGAGAACTGGGGGAGGGTGCTGCACTGTGGATGACAGATTTGGCTCTGGGACGTGGGGGGAGATGATCCTTGGACTGTTGGGGCTCAGCTTAGAGAACGACTCCATCATGCAAGGAGCAAATTGGGGCAAGGCAGGGCTCCGTTTCCTTTGCTTTTCCCCACCATCCACCATCAGACCCCACCGGAGGGATGCAGCCCCAGGTTTGTGCTGTCAGAGATGGAGCTGCAGAAATGGGGCTCTGCACAGCAGTGAGCACATTCCTGCTGCAGCCCCTCGCCTGGGGGAGGGCGGGGAGGGAAGAAATCTCATCTGAATTTGCTCTTTAAGCACAACGTGAAGTTGAAATTTCCTTGAGACGTTTCCCTTTCCCGTGCCATTGCTCTGTCGGTGAATGCACGTTTCAGCAACGTCTCCTTCTGGGTTAAACAAAAAGCTGAGGATTTCTGTTTGCTGTCAGTTTTTGTTTTGGCTCACCCAGGTTAAAAATAGCCATTCCAGGTAGATTCACACTTCTCTGCTCTCTGCTTTTTGCACAAAGGGGACAAACGTGTGACTCGGGCTGCGCAGCGCAGTGCTGGGTAAGCGCTTCTGCAGCTGCTGCCAGATGTGCCCCCTCCTGCAGAGGGTTTTGGGGAAGGATTCAGCCCAGTGGGGGGGTCCAGGGTGGTGAGCCTCCCCTCCGGGCTGCCAGTGTCACCAGTGCTTCCAGGGGGGGATTAAACACTATAGACAGTGCGATCTGTTGGATGGTGGCTGGGTGCTGGACATGGGCTCCCATTTTGGCTGCTCTGGGCTTTGGGTTTTGGCTTGGATGGGCTCCAGGGTGGAGGGATGGAGGTGTTGGGCTGTGCACAGGGTCCTGCATGTGCTCATCACTGTTACCCACAGCACACTGGGGAATGGGGTCCCCATGTTTCCACATCCCCAGGTCCCCATGTCTCCAAGCCCTGCTGATGCACTCCAGCCACAAACCCCCCTGCAGAGGGATCTGGACCCAGACTGTGCTTGCAGTCCCACTGACAGCCCCATCCCCTGCAGCTTTCCCCTGTAAATCCTACCCAACGCAGAGCAACCCGCCCATATAGCAAACTGCTCTGTCCTTAGCCTGCATTCTGCCAAATGCACACAGATGCCAAAAGCTTTGAGACCTTCAGTTTTGCGAGGCTGAGCCCCCACCTCGTGCAGCAAACCCCAGAGAAGCCCTCCAAGAACCATCAGAGGGGCTCAGAGTGCAATGCACTCCCATCCCCCAGGGATACAGCGTCTGGGTCAGGGAGTGGGGGGCCTGAAATCATGGCTATGTGCTCTGGCTGCTGCACCAGGCTGCGTTCGTTAAGCACAGGCTGCAATGAGGTGACCGTATGAGTTTGCTGACGAGGATGCTGTTTGCACATTCAGGCTTTTTCTATCTCAAAATGCCGTCCCTGCTCCAGGCAGCTGGAGGGGGCTGACCATGTGCATCCCTCACTGCGTGCTTCCCCATGATTTCTGCTTTTTTTCTCTCCAGGGTCAACTGTACAGCTGCTTCGGGTGGGTGAAAAACTCCTGCTGGCGCTGTGTCTGAGCCCCCCGCCCGGCACAGGGCTGCGGGAAGGAGCTGCCTTTGTTCCACGGGGATGCTGTCCCTCCTCTGAGCTTTGCCATTGGGTTTGCATGCCGTTCCTTCTCACACCACCGATTCCGGGGGCCCCAGGAGCCAGCTGGGAAGGTCACACCGCTGACCCCGTGCAATGGAAGTGCCGGGATTGGAGGGGAAACGGGACAAAACGGGGAATCCCACACAACCCCCAGCTGCTGGCAGGGCTCCTGCGGTCCACAGAGCTGCCCCGTTCTGTAGGGATGGGGGGGGACACGCACGGCTCTCTGTGGTCCCACCCAGCCACGAAGGGCAGCAAGTGGATCCTACAGGAGGGAGGGGAACGGGACCCCCGGATACCATCTCCCGCAGCCCCACTTCACGCACACACAGCTGCTCTGTGTCTGCGCCCCCTCTCACCTCCGCTCCTTGCACACACGTGTGTGATCACACGTGGCCGCATCACACCCAGCTGGGCGCCCCCGGGGGCTCTCCGCACCCGGCGCGTCCCCAGCCGCGCTCCCGCGGTCCCCTGGAGCGCAGCACAGCCCCGCTGCTCTCGCACTCATCGCCCTCTCACACCCCGCCTTTTACACGCTCCCGCAGCCCCGCTCTCACCGCACGATGCCGTACATCACCAACACGTTGCCCAGCAGCCCCACCACGCACACCACCGAGTACAGCGCGGTGATGACGATGGCGATCAGGATGGAAGTGGCGTTTTTGGTTCTCGGCGGTCCCGTCTCATTGCCGCTGGTTCCGGGCAGGGCATCCCATGCTGTGCGGTTATCCCACACCGCGAGCGGCTCCGTGGGCAGTTCCGTGTTCAGCTCCATGCCCCGCAGCGCCCGCACCGCGCAGACCCAAAGCCGCGAGTTCGAGTCCCGCTCCCGCCCGGCGCCGCCGCCTCCCGCGGTCTCCTTATAGAGCCGCCGTGTGCTCCGAGCCACGTGGGGCCGGGGGCGGCCCTGCCGTCTTCTGCCGCCTCCCCCCGCACCCTCCTGGTCCCTACCTGCATCCCAGACCCCTCCCAGCACGAATCTTTATTGCCCTCTGCCGCAGCCCAGCCCTCCCCCCGGTCCCTGCTCCATCCCGGTCCCTGCCGCCCCCACCTCGATCCCTGTTGCACCCCCCACACCGTGGCCCTGCTGCCTCCGATCCCGGTTCCCTACATCACCTCGTCCCTCCCGGACCTCCCCCGGTTCCTGCTGCATCTCCCCTTCTTCCTGCAGAGCCCCCACACCCGCTCCCTGTTGCCCCATCCCACTCCCTGCTGCCTTCCTCCGAAGTCATTGAGGGGCCCCGAACATCCCCGGGGGTCGCAGGGCTGGGGAACATCGGGTTCGGTGCAAACTGCGATACTGATCCTGTTTTCTTTTGTTTGCAAGAAGGCTGGGGAGGGGAGGAGGACGGGTGTGGGAGAGGAGAAGGAATGGGGTGGGGTGGGCAAACAGCCCCTGTCCCCACAGAGAAGCTGGGGGCCCCGTATGGGACCGGGGCTGCCCATGGGAACAGGGCTCCAAATGGTGTTGGAGGTCTGAACGGGATTGGGGCTGCAAAAGGGATCGGGATTCCAAATGGGAACGGGGCTGCAGGTGGGGTCGGGGCTCCAAACGATGTCAGAGCTCTGAACGGGGATCAGGGCTCCAAATGGGATCGGTGCTCCAACAGGTCTGGGAACCCAATGGGTTGTGCTGGGGGACCTGTGCTCCTCTCGCGGGGTGTGAGGAACCCCAGAGGTCAGCGGGATGGAGGCACCCCACGCCGCCCAGCTGAGGGTGCAGCTCGTTTTGGTGGGGATATTTGCTCCCCCCAAAGCTCTGCAGGCTGTGGGTCGGACCCGGGGTGGGAGCAGCACATCACCCCACACCCCGCAGCTCTCGGGATGCTTTGGGGTTTGAGGAAAGGCATTGAGGAGCTCCGCAGCCGCTGAGCCCTTCCCACACCGGCACTCAGCCTTGAGGAGGAACACGGGCTGAGCTCCGCCGTTTGTTTTCCTACGTCAACAGCTCCGAGTGCTCTCCTACCTCTCGGGGCAGCTGCTGGGAGAGAACAAAGCCCGGCGTCAGGGGAGACCAAAGCAGCTGAGCTCCTTCCCTGCCTCGCTCGGTATCTTTGGGCATCCAAAGCCCTCCGGAGCTGCTTGGGGTCGGGGGGCTGCACGGGGACCCCCCGCCCGGTGCGTTGCTGCTGCAGATGGCGGTGGTGTCACCGATGCCGCCCGTGTCCCCGAGGTGCTCTCACCTCCTAGTGGGCATCGCCAGCCTGCCCCGATGCAGGATGCATCGGTGGTTCTGCCTACAGCCCATCCCCGTGAAAAACACCTAAGAATCAGCCTGAAATGAAGGTGGTTGCTTCAGAGTGGGGGTTATCAAACCCTCTCCCCGCCCCTCCCAACATCGTGCCTGGCCCCGTAGCAGGGAAGGGCGCAGGGCACCGCCAGCACTGCGCACCCATCGGTCCCTATGGGAGATTTGTTTTTCTCTGATTGTCGCTTATTTTGGTATTTTCACACACCCCCCCCCACCCCCCTTCAGGCTGACAATGGAGCTCTGATTGCACACTGGCAGAGGCTGCCCAGATTTGGGGAGCTGCTCCCCCCTCCTGCGCTGCTTCCATGCGTTGCAGCATTCACATGCAGTGAGTCATCGGGCAGCGAGACGTCCAAGGGGGGGGGGACGACAGAGGCACAGCTTCCAAAGGCCATCACCACAGCTGTGTGTCTGCCTCCCTTCGGCTGCACACAGGCTGTATGTCCGTGCGTTGCCCCCCAGCATGGGGGACCTGTCAGACCCCCGGCTCACCCCTCTCCTGCTCACAGGGGAAGGCATACAAAGCATTCCCTTTATCTTTTTGCCTCCCCACCCCGATGCCCAGACACGAGGATGCTCAGCTGTGGCTTCTCGGTCCCTGCATCCTCAGCCCACGCACCCACCTCCCCCGGGGAAGGAAGGGATGTGGGCTTTGATGTGGGGAATTCAGGTCAGCACTAACCCAGATCCATCCCCACTGCTCCCCCGTCGAGCTGCGCTCTGTTCCCATCCCATTTTCCACCCCACACTCCAGGCTCTCCCCTTTACTTATTCATGTGCCTGCAGCTGTTCTCCCTGCGCCGATGGGGTTGGCTTTGGGAGAAGGGGAAGTCAGAGCATGGGAGTGTTTGGCTGTGAGTTGAGTTTGGGCAGAAATGTGGAGCACCCGCAGTCCCGGCTGGCTTTAATGGGAAGCAGCGGTTTGGGGAGGCTGTGTTGGATGTGCAGAGCCCTTCTTGTAGCTCCAATGCACCCAGCAGCATGGGTGAGCCATGGGAACCCACGGGCTTAGCTGCAGTGATGCTGATTCAAGGGTTTTCATCATTTTTTTTTAGCCCTTCCTCCTGCAGAAAGGCAGCTGGGTTCCTACCAGCCCAACCCATTCCATGGCTCTGAGGTTGCATGACCAATGTGCAGCAAAACGTGGGCAGGTGAATGGATGCAATGCAGGAGTGGCACCCAGTGATGCAGGAGCAGCACCCACAGATTCAGGAGCTGTACCCATAGTTGCAGGAGCTGTACCCATAGGTATAGGAGCTGTACCCATAGGTGCAGGAGCTGTACCCATAGGTATAGGAGCTGTACCCATAGGTGCAGGAGTGGTGCCTGTAGGTGTAGGAATGATACCCACGGATGCAGAAGTGATGCCCATAGATGTAGGGGTGATTCCCATAGATGTAAGAGCTGCACCCATGGATGCAGGAATGGTATCCATAGGTGTAAGAGTGATACCTAGGGATGTGGGGGTGGTACCCACGGATGTAGGATTTGTATCCATAGATGTAGGGGTGAAACCCCTCGATGCAGGAGCAGTACCCACAGATGTAGGTGCAGAGCTGTGCCCATGGGTGCAGCACAGTTCTACCAACCCATCACCCGGATGAACTGTCTCCACTTGCACCGGCGCAGACTGCAGGGTGGGCACTGGGAAGAGCCTTCGCACAGAGGGCTCAGGCTCTGGATGCCGCTGTGGGGCGGTGCGTCCGTGCCTGGAGGAGGGCTGGTGGCACTGGGGGACGTGGCCGGGGCTGGCAGCACGTGGCCATGGGGCTGGAGCCACGGGCAGTCGGCAGGGGGACTTTTTTCCCTCTCCATAGCGGAGGTGCCTTCTGAGCAGAGCATTCATTCTCTCTCCTGGTGCTTCTCCTTTCCTCCGTATCCAAGCGCATCCTCGGCGGGCCGGGATGAGTCACGGCGGCGGCAGCAGCGCTGTAAGAGCATCAGCGCACGATTCCCCCCGAGGCTCCGCGGCTCCGCATCGCCCTTCGCCAGCAGTTCCGCTCCGCACGCACTCATCTCCCTGCCCTCGGGAAATGCCACGTCCTGCTGCCAGGTGGAGGGCAGCGAGGTGGTGCCGGCCCAGCAGGTGACACTGGGGCCGCAAACCAACCCCACCCCCCCCAAAAGCAGGAGCTCAGCTCCACAACCCTCTGTGGTTCGCTCCCTAATTACGCACCCTGCACGGCCAGGCTGCTTTGCAGAGTGCAATTAATTAACGTTTGCATCCTTGGCGCTTGCTGACCCTGCCAGACTCGGAGCTGCTGCTGATAACGGGTTTGCTGCAGGACGAGCTGTTTCTGAGCTGGGTTTGGAAGGCAGGGTTGGTGCTGGGCGGTGCAGCCCCGCGTCGGGGCTCATCCGGAGCTCGGGGGAATGGAGTCGAGGGGCAGAGGGAGCAAAACAAAGCTGTAGGGTCAGCGTGGGCCGTGCTGTGCTGGCTGTGCATGGCCAAGGCTTGCTGAGATGCTGCTTTGGGGGCAATGCGGGCAGGCTGGAAAACACACAAACGTTTCCCTTGTGCAGCACAAATCCTTTCCCTTTATGAGCATGGCACGGATGGGATGCAGAGGGACCGGACATCAGGGTGAGCTCCCAGCCCAGAGCAGGGCAAACCCCAGTAAATAAATGGGGGCACACACAGCTCCCTCGAGCTGCCTGGTGCTTCGTGAGATCACCACAGATCAATCTGCTGCTCTTGATTGCTGAGTGCCTGAGAGCCCCTGGTGGGGAGGAGCGCAGCGTCAGGTGGGGAAGCCAACGCTGCTGCAATCTTCCCCCCATCATTATTTAGGTCGCCCTGCAGAGCTCAGGGATGGGGGTTAACCTAACAGGGGGCGGCTGCTTTGTGGATTTGGGGGCAGAGCCGAAGCTGAGATTTTGGGGAGGCTGTGTGGAGTCAGCAAAGCAGGGGAATCACCACACACCGGCTCTGCTTTTGGGAAAGCAAACCTTCCGTCATCCCGTAAATCCTGTAATTTTCCATGCAATGTGTTTCACCCTTCCAAGCAAAGCTCCGGGTCGGGGTTATCTCAGCAGATGCATTTTATCATCCAGGGAGGGGTGGGGGCTGACGGGGTGGCACTGCAGGATGGCATCCCTGCTGCTCAGCCCGCTGCCGCCGGCGCCTCACAAAGGTTGCAGGTGACAAACTGATTATTTTTTTTCCCCCCTGATTTTCAAACAGGAGCAAAGAAGGGGCATCACGTGCTGCAAAGATGGGCACAGCGCTCTTGTCCCCATCCAGAGGTGTGAATCCCATTCTCTGGCAGTGCAGCACGGGGATGGGGAGAAGGGGGGGGAAGGGGGCGCAAGAGGGGATGCTGTGTGGAAATGATGCCTACGAGCTCCAGGAGGAGGAAATCTTCTCGGGAGGACAAGGAGCGTGGCTGCATTGGGATCGGGGATGGGGGCTTTGGGGTCTGCTCTTCACCTCGTGCATCCCCCGAAGTCAGAGCCTCCCGGCCTTTAAGGACAGAGAAAAAACTGCTGATGGAGGTGTGGGTAAACAGCAGCTGTGTCCCTGCACTGCGCAGCGTGCAACCCCCCCGCTTAGAGCCGCCCCCAGGTCCTCACTCCCTCCT